CAATACTGGCACCACCATGTCCAAGATGTTGAGCGTCGAAGCTCCGCAACGATGTCGGCGCGGACTCGTTTCTTCCGCAACGTGGAGGAGGGTCTGAAACTTAAGGCTCAGACATTACAAGACGAGAACACTCGACTCCAAACTGAGCTGCGGGCTGCGCAAGACGCCCAAGAATCCGCGGAGCGTCGTGCTGACGACAACGTGTTGGATCCTGACGACTTACTAGATTTCTTAATGCAGGATGAAAGTGGAGTCACGGTTATATCCAATTGGGAACGCCTGCGAGACATCTTCCGGCATTACGCCGAGGATACTAAGCCTCCCAGTACTTGGAATACTCAGATCAATGTGACTGCCATAGACAACGTACGCTACCTGCCTCCAGACTACGTGAAGCCTGACCCACGTCCGAGAAACCCTCGCGGTGGTGGTGGGTCTGGACCCAAGCCGTCAACCCCAAAGCCGAGTAGAGTTCTGGATATGACGGGTAGCGGAGGGTCGAGGCCTTCCAACACGACGTCATGACCTTCCAGAACGCGGTCAACCTCTGGCACCAAACGTAAGCGTCACAGCAACCTGATTCTAGTCGCGGTGGCAGCTCCCGCAAGTTGGAGTTTGATGGCACGGAGGAGAGGCAGATGCGTCCTAAGGAACACCGCCCCCGAGACGATCTCCCCTGCGGCCCCGACGAGGACTTGGACTCAGCGATGGAGGCCGACGCACAGAAACGCATCCCGGATGGTCTACTCTGGGGGCGACCTTCGGCAGGACGTTCGCATGTTGATGATCACAGGCCTCACGTACGAGGAAGCCCTGAAGTTGTTGCGCGGAGATTCACCACCTGCTGCCTGGATATATGGTGCAGCAGGTGCTGGTTCAGATGATTGACTGGGGAACTCTGGATCTTACGCCCTGGAGCAATTATGTGCCTGAGTCAAACTATCTGGATGCCGAGAGAATCTAGACCGGGATTCGAGTCGTGAATGGTCGGGGGCTTGAGAAATGGCCTTCGTTGGACAAATGCGATCGGAAACTTGAGCAACTTAGAGATGTGGCTGCAGAGATCGAAATGATCAACGGCGCCCTCTCCGAATCGTCAGACGACGAGACTCAGCACCCTCCTTTCTCTCTGAAACCAGGCGCGGAGGAGACTGACAACGCTTAAGAGACCCGAGACGAGACTGATGATCTAGATGATGGCGCGGACGAGGTTCCAACGAACGTTACTGACATTAGTCCAAAGCCTGCCAGTCAAGCGAGTTCTGGAACGCGACGCCCCTCACCAAACTCTGGCAAGATATCCAAGGCAACATCTAGGGCTCCAGACACCAAGGTCATCAAGATAATCAAGACGAACACCGGTCGCGCCAAAGGGGCGCGTCACTCCACAGACTTGGCCACTTGCGACTTTCAGTCTCTGAGCGAAGATGAGCTGCTGATCATCGAGGTCTGCGACCAGGACGTCACCAGCACCTTAAGAATCTTCGGGATCAAGATGAAGTTCTCCGACAAGGTCCAGACCCTCGGCTTCCCAGATTATGAACCACACAAGCATGAGACCAAGTATCTCAAGGATCGTTGGTCTATGGAGGCGTGGGATGAGTTCTTGGGCGTCGTTCGAGTGAAAAAGTCTGGAACTAAAGAACGTCGTGGGACTACATCGAAGCGCAACTCCTCTGAGGCAGGTGCATACGGCTCGGGCTCAGATCCCAGGGCGTGGGAGTCACGAGTCCTTGACTTTGTGCTCCCCTGCATTCAAATGTTCGAAGACCGTTCAAAAGAGTTCTACTTTCACCGCGTCCGTGATCTGAGCAAAGGAGTCATGCCTGGGATCAGAGAATACTTGGAGTCCCTGGAAGAACATACTGATGGCTGGTGGTACATACTATACTGGTTCACGATGTCCATGGAGGATGACCGAGCAAAGGAACTTCATCTGTGGCGTCGCAAGTGTCGGGAGACTCTGGACCGGAACTTCCTTCTCCTAGTCCAACGTTTGGAGTTGATTGACAAGTTCCCCAAGACACTCTGGTACGAGCCGGGTCTGTGGATCCTTCCCAACACTATATGCTACTGGATCTTCAAGGATCCCTCGGTGAATTTCCGAACCGTGTCAGGGTTGCTGACTTGCTCGCCGAGCTCCTGGAACGGAACGAAAGAGAACCTGCGCGAACACTCTGGCCAGATGCTGCGAGTGAAACTGCGCGTCTGGAACACATACCAGAGGCGTTCATCTCCAAACGTCTGCTCCGAAAATCGAGCGAGCGGGCCAGCAACCTGCTGCCGATTCCAAGATCTTCCACCACTCCGAAGCCAAGGACTACGAAAGAGCCATACGAGCCCGTCTCGCCCAGGATGCTACATTAGCGGGCTCCAACTCGGACTGAATGTCTAACTCGAGGCCACTTAGTGCACTTCAGACTCGGTCTCCAGCGCCCATACATATCATAGCGGATCCATCTAATTCAATAATCAGATGTTGATGTCTCATCTTGCTCCATTCTCAACGAAGTCACATTAAAGCGGGACAGACTGCCCAACAAATCTGCATTCCATACATATCATTCAACCGAGCTCTGGAACCACATTGCCTTAGCTAAGTATCCACGCGTGACCACTCAATCACTATAATAACACACGACTTCTCTGAAACGAAGCACATAATAGTTGGAACCGGACTTGACTCCTCAGGATCGGAGCCTATAACTCCGCGTAATCATCATTCCCAGACTGCATGGCTGGAAAAGAGCCTTTGCACGTGCTGAGGGGTTGAATTTATATAAAAGGGAGCCACATTTCAATTGTAAGACGGGCAACCACTGAAGTTCGTCATATCCCTTCCACTTAATGAGATATTCGCGGATACATTTCGCATTTCGGGTGCGTGGTCCATCTTAAATCCACATTTACTTCCACTTCGTACTCCTGATGCACCGAATCTGGTTTCCAACTATCTTCCGGCAATAAAGCCGCATCAAAATCATCTTCCTCTGAAACGTCAATCCTTAAAGACGGTCGTTTTGGAAACAAGGTGCGTGGTTTCAGATGACTAATGTAGACCCAGGGTTCTACACGATAGCCCGTACCCTGGACCTTCAATTTCACCTTGAAATCGTCCCGAACCTGTTCAATTCTGAATGGGCCGTGCCACAAATGGACCAATTTACGACTCAGACCTGGCAAAACCTTCGGGAGATATAACCAGACCGAGTCACCGGTTTTGAACCCAAACTTGAGGTGCTCCGATAGTACCTTCCACTTCTGAGTCTGAACCGCGGATCGCGTACGCTTGGCCCTCTTCTGGAGCTCCTCTGCGCAGGCGTGGGCATAGCTGTAATCTCGTTGCATTTCCGACGCCATTCGTACGCAGTACGTTCTGTGACATCCGTCGGTTTAGGGCCCAGCATAGCTGCCATAGTACTCCGACAAACAAACCCGTGTAGTAAGTAGAACGGTGTATCCAATGTAGTCGCATCAAAGGAGGTATTTATAGCATGCATAAGCTTCTCTGCATGGTCGTCCCAGTCGGTTTGGTCGGGCTCCTCGACATACGCTCTGATACTGTGCATAATTGTCTGACACGATCATTCCTGTTGGCCATTGGCCTGAAGGCGATACGCGAGCGTTGCTTTCTGTTGGATACCCATCATCTCACTGAAACGACGGAATACCCGACTCATGAAGCGGGGATCCCTGTCGTGGCGGATTTCAGAGCTTGTGCCATAGTTCCTGAACACAACCTCTTCGTAGGCTTCAGCACAGGCTTGGGCGGTAGTGCTACTCATGGGTTTACACGTAACGTAGCCCGTGAACATATCCTGGAACAAAAGTAGGAACGTATTCCCACGTTCCGACTTCGGGAGGTGTGTGACAAAATCCATGGACACTACTTCGAATAGAACGGTCCGTTCAATATTCCTGGGAGAGGGTCCTGGATTCGGAGGTCGCCCCTTAGCGGACACGCAATCCGTACATTCCTTGACAAACATTTCGACGTCTTCGAACATCCCCATCAATGAAAACTCTGAACGCAGACGTTCATATGTCCTGGTGATACCTTGATGGCCACTCTGGAAATCTTCGTAAGCGTGATGTAGGATGTCCGGTCGTAAGGCTTCCGGTACAACCAGTCGAAGTTCAGAACGCTTATCCCTAGGACGTTCCGGAGTAGGCGCAGCCAAACGATAGAGAACGTCTCTTGAATCTAAGACATATCGGTCCGAACCCTTCGCGATTTTCTTGACTTCCTTCCGCGTATAGTTCAACAAGTCACCTTTCAAATAATCATTGAGCCTTTTTAGCTCTGGATCCCCATCCTGATGGACTTTAATCCGTCTCCAACGTTCGTTTCGATAGTCTAATGGCCAACTTAGGTCATCTACTTGGCCAACTTGTCTGGAACGACTTCGGGTTGTAACTATCTTTACGGGTGTTACTGTCTCAGACGCGTTTTAGACGGGGTCTGAAACAAGGCCATTTGGATGATCGCTCTTCAGACTCTGACTTGCGCTGTCTTTTCGTTCCGAGGTCTCTGGAGTCTTCATAATTTTCTCCAGGATCCTCGAGACGAATTTCAGATGCATCAATTCATCCGCATCTTCCACTACTGATGCTTTTCCGAGTGCCAATGTCTTCGTCATCAAGTAATCTGCCGCGTGGTTATAATCCCGTTTGACGTGGACCAACCGTACGGAGCCGAATTGCACTTTCAAGGCTTCATACTCAGCAAGTCGACGTTGCAGATTAGGCTGGTGGCAACCTATCAGCCCTTGCGCTTGTTGGATTACGATTCTAGAATCGCCCACCTCAACCACATCTCTGAAACCGCGGTCGGAGGCCAGCTCCAAACCTTTGATCAACCCGTGATACTTAGCATCGTTCACGGTCACGTTCTCCAAAGGGAATCCGTGGGCACTCAGGACATGCCAGCCAGGTAAACGCCACAGAATACATCACCAACTTCCCTGTCTCGTGGAGACCTTGGCTGCACCATCGAAGCTAAAAACATACCCTTCGAAGTCTGAATCCAGCATGTCTACACTGATCGGCGGAGGTGCCTTGATTCGCCCCTTAGCTGGGATCAGGTCTTCAGCGACTTCATCTAAGTGCTCCCGGGGGGGGTAATACCTGCACCGAGGATGGCAGCTAATCCAACTTCATCGCGTTGCACACGGCGTAATTCCAGAGTCCACTTCGACAATTCCAAGCCCCACTTTAGGTGACGACCGTCGGCCGAGTTCGACCTCAGTAAGCACTTCAGGACCGAGTGCCGAGTATAGAATACAATCGGTGTCTCTGAACCGTAGATGAGCGGACGGAATTGCTCTAGGACTCGCAGGATAGCCAACACCTACTTCTCCGCGATGTGGTATCTGAGTTCAGACTCGTTCAGGACTCGCCCTGTACAGCGCACCGCTTGAATGATCCCCTCATGTTCTTACTGAGGACGGCACAAGCCGCCCGGGGGTTTACGTGTGGGATGATGACAAACGGCTTAGTACAATCCGGATGGCGCAGCAGCGGTGTTGATGTAATCTAACGTTTCAGAATCTCGAACGCTTCCTTGGCCTTATCCAAATCATGTCCGGCACGAATGCGATCCTCATCCAGCTCGTAAAGCACAGTCGCGACAACAGACAAATCCTCGATAAACTTGTTATAGTAATTCAAGCTTAAACGATTGAACGCCCTTCAGAGTCGATGGGAAAGGTAGGTCTTGTACACTCTTGGCAATCTTCGGGGTAGCCCTGATACCTTCGGCACAGACTTCGTGGGACAGGTACGGTATAGTTTGTTGGCCGAACTCGCTTTTCGGAAGACTAACCGAGATATTCCAGTATCGGAGTCGGAATAGCAGGGCATTCAGGTCTTCACAAAATTTGTCCCAGGTAGGCGCCCCATGAGCGATATCGTCTATGTAGGAGCTTCGCCCCAAGACTGGTCCCATCTGCGTTGGGGTCGGAATGTTTCGCCTGAATGCAGTCGCCTCCTTCATCAACTCTAGAAGTCTGAAACCACCTTCGCCTTGACGATTTTTG